TAATTTATTTGGCAAGTATGAAAAAAAAAACACAATTCTGTATCAAGATCAAGACAACTGTAATTTAATTACGGGGCATTTTGCAAGTAAAAAATTTAAGGAAAAAAAAATACAGGAAATAACCAGAACAGTAATGATACAACCAGGGAAAAAAACATTATGTTATACAGCCTTTATAGGAACCAATCAGGTTAGGTTAGATACATTTAGGACAATGTGTCTGCAGGTATCTATCCCAATAAGGTTCTGGTTCTGTTGCTTCTGGCTGAATTTTGTTTGTTTTTTTGCATTTCACTTCATTAAAATATGTTGACTGTGACAACTTCTTCCCATCTATTTCCCAACTACAGCTTTTCAAATTGCATGAAACAACAGGCGTTACCAAATAGATTACTGTTATAGAGAGTTAAGAAGAAACGCTACCCAGAAATATTCAGCTAACATTTAAAGCAGCAGTCAGATCGTATATGTTTGTTGGATTAAAAAAAAACAAAACTGTTGGTTTTCAAAATGAATATAATCAGATTAATAATCTTTAGTACAGTTATTGTCCTGCCTTGACAACTATAGCTGTTCACCTGCTAATCAATGTAAAATCTGCTGATTTTTAGACCATTTAATGACAGATAAAATAGAATTATCTTTTAAATCTTTAATTTAGACTATTGAAATGAAACAAAGTAGAACGGTTTGACATTTCTCCTTAAATTAAGTTTCATTATTGTTATCTTCTAAATTATCTATTGTTATTTTCTGAACCTGCAAGATTTTTTTTTTTTTATGAATTTGGGATATTTTCAGTTCTTATCTTGCAAAGAGAATTTCCTTTACTTGCCAGATTCAATGATCAATGATTGTTCAAGCTAAAATATGATTGAGACAGGGCTGCAAATTAGAAGTGTATTTTCTCTGATAATCTTTAACAAGCTGGCAGCCTTTTAGAGAAAAAAAAACTATATTTAAAAAGTTAAAATAACCATAATTATGCAAAAAAAGTGAATTTGAAAATATGTCAGGTTGTGAGGAGGTTTTTAGAGGACCCAAATGCAGAGATGGAAGTTGAGGTGGTTTCTTGCAGATTTAATTATCCAAGGGGCAAGAGTAGCAAAAGTCCACAAAAACAAATACAGAAAAAACAAAACCCAGGAAACATCTGGGAAAACACACATGAGGAGCCAAGAAACGAAGAGGAACCAGCAAACAGTAACAGAAGAGAAGGGAGATTGAACAAAGCCTAGTCTGATCAGCAGAGTGGGAGCAGGTGTGAACAGAGGAACCTAGAAGGGAGCTAGGGGAAAGGAGACTGACACAAGAGGGCAACAGAGGGTAAACAAGAAGTACAATACAATACAACTCAAATACAACCAGAAACAACTAAAAAAAACACAAAAAGGAAATGAAACTGATGAAAAATCAAAAAGAAAACACAAATAGAATCAAAACCAAGACAAAATATCATAGTATATTTGCAAAAATCATTGTCTCTGTATCCTTGTCTTTATTTGTCCAGTCAGTTCTTGTATTAAACTCTTTTTTATATATGGGACCTTGGTGTTTTTTTAGAAATGAACTGGAATCCATCTTCATATTAGTCAGAGGGCTGATTTATGGAGCTCACCACAGATCCACATAAATGGAAAGTGCTGATGCTAAAGGAAGAAAAGCAGCTGATAACCGCTGAGCCTCCCATCCGACCTCCCACACCTGCTGTCTCTGCTACCATCTGACCTCCAGTCACCCACCACCTGCATTCAATGGGCTTCAAATATTTTTTTTCTCATTTCACACTTTTTCATGTTTCACTGGTTTTAAGCCGATGTGGTGAAACGATAAGACTTTTATCGTTTCTTTTTCACTTCATCTCTTTTCTACCGATATGGACCACAGGCGCCTCAGCCTGTTCGTCTCTTTAGAGGTCAGACACGTCATTTTGACCCTCTTTAGGTCATCCTGTGCTCAGGTCTGATGTGCATAGCTGGGCTTCTGCCTGTCTGCGCTCCACGTTCTGTTTATTATCTTTGGATGAGGATGAAGTGAGGCAGCGCTTCCAGTCTGGGAACGGCAGGCGAGATGTTAGCCGGAGCTGCTGCCAAGTCCTCACACCCCAAGGAACCATCAACTGCTCACAGGACCACCTCCAACTTTGCTCCAAAGAGTCATGATAGGAAAAAAGGATATTTTTTCCATGCAGTGGCTAGTTTTTAACTTTGTGCATTTCTCTGGGTCCTTCCTGTCGTTAAATATCCGCTTTGTGAATTTCTTAATTTTTCCACGCCTGCTTGACTTATGGTTTCCCCTCTATGGTACCCCACCATCTCTCTTACCTTGTAGGCCTTACCTCCTTTTCCCACGTCCTTCTCATCCATTTTTCTACTGTGCTAATTCTCATTAGGTGGACTGAAAACCTCCTGCTGCAGGAAACAGGCCCTCTCCTCTGTTTCCTGCAGCTCCAGAGCCCTTATTAGTTTAGTGATGAAGACACAGGAGGGACAGCGTTCTCTGGCTGTCAGTTAAATCCTCTGGGACTAATATTCCCAGGCTGGAGAGTATATATGCTCAAGCTGAGGTTTCACAGATGGTTCCTGTAATTACATAATCCAGAATACTGGTTAGTTCCTCCAGTTAAATTTTACAGCAATACCTCACAAAGCGACTATTCATATCCCTACATCATTTTATTTTGACAATTTTTCATGTTTTAGTTTGATGGTTTTAAAATGGGATATGAAAGAATAGACTAATTCAACCCTAATTATTTGGATCCCATAATTAAATGGAGGCTAACTGTTCAAGATTTTTATTATTTATACATTTTTTGATGGGAAAAGTTTATATACCAACTCAGTGATGGCTGGTGTGTGTGTGTGTGTGGGTGTGTGTATGGGGGTGGGGGGGGCGGGTACTGTGAATGTACAACTTTTAACGAGAATCTATGGTCAAAGATGTTTGTGCCCTAGGACGGAAATACGTCACCAATCCGACAAAAAACGAAACAGCCTTACTCGTCATTAAAGATTAAATATTTAGCTGTCACATCTACAATATATATATCAGTATATTTCATAATATTTTAATTTTATAATTTGTTATTTTTATGTCTTTATTTAAGGTCATTTGGAGGGTGGGAGGGCACCCTAGTACCGTGCCACCCTGTTTTGGATGTTTCTGAGCTTCAGCACACCTGATTCAGATGATTGCAGTTCAGCAAAGCCTGATAATCTGCTATCAATTGATAACAGGTGTGTGAAAGCTGGGAGGAAACATCTAAAACATGCAGGGCAGTGTGCTTTGAGGACCAGGGTTGAAAAACACTGATATATTGTATTTATTTATATTTTCGATCAATGACCAATTTTGAAGTCTGGTCTGCTCTATGTTATTCCACACCACAACGTGGAATATCACGAACTAGCTGTGGGTCTAGTTACGGCCGAGGCGGTAAGGAAGTGGGGGCAAGTTTTTGCGACAACGGAGGGACATAAGAGCGAAAAAGAGCGGGGATCCAGGTGGAAAAAGGGCCCCAGCGTTCTCGCGTACCTCGCTCCTCTAGCTAGTCCAAGTCGTTTTCCACAATGGCGGTCATAAAAACAAAACAAGCTGACCTCCTGTCTGCGGTAAGGCACCAACCAGGAAATACTTATAGTGTAGAGCGGATGTAGATTTGACCAATCAGAGGCCTCCTGTCTGCGGCACTGTCTGCGGTCACCTACAATTTGCACAATGGCACATTTACGTTCACTGCGACACACACGCAGACGACCTTTACACTTTAAGACTTTAGACTTAAGACAGATTTTATTTGTCATTTTGTTTACACAAGTGTAAAACAAAAAGAAATTTCGTTTGAAAACAGCCCACTGGACAATTTCATCTTTTTAAAAGTGCAGCTTTGAAAAATAGTAAAAATGACAGTTCTAACTTTTTTTATAATGATGAAATATAATAGATATAATAATAAATACAATATAATAATAAAATACAATACAATAACCATTTTCCTGGTTTCTGAGTATAAATCAGCCTTTACTGTTAAAGGAAAGCTCTGTGTCTACACCTTGAAGCTTTCTCTCTCCGGTTCAGTTTTCCTGAAAAGAGATCCCCTGGGACAAACTCTTTAAATAACACTTAATAACATATATGTAAAAAATAACCATGAGACATGACAACAGATTTTTTAATCTTACTCAGATCACAAAAGTTGCTTAGGGTTACAGAAAGCAGCTGCTTACCAACTGGGCTCACTTCTCAGGAAGTGGCAACGACAAACAGGTAGCGAAACTTTATAAGGCCAGTTTATACTTCTGACGCATAGCCTCTGCAACCGTCAAATCTGTCTCTGTGCGCGACCAAGCCCCCCGCGCAGAGGCTCTGCAACCGCCGTGGCGCGCCTCAAAAATCCTGACTACACATCGGACGATCGCAAACCTCAAGTGGAAGTGTGCAGACAAAAAGCAGCTGTAATTGTTCCTTGGTATGCCTTTCCGGCTGTATATGTGGTCGTCCTTCTCGATTCGGTGCATGGGCATGCCATTTTTAAAAACCGAGGAGTAATAGCAACAATGGATAACCGCGACGAAAGGTTGAACAAGGAGGTTCGGAAGTACAACCCCTTATACGATGCCTCAGACATGATGTTTTGGAAAATAAACACTCCCGCCGGTGCTGTCGAAGAAGTTCTCGTGACCATCCGCCGAAGTTCTCGCGAGTTCTCGAATAGGCTCCCCCTTAAGGCTGATTTATGCTCCGAAACCAGGTCCTCTGCGTAGGCGTCGCAGTGAACAAAAAGCTGTCCCGGCCCCTTCCGCTGGCACTCCGCTGCACCTCTCCCAAATTGTGACTGACAGCAGACAGTGCCGCAGACAGGAGGCCACCTTGTTTTGCTTTTATGACCCAAATTGCAGAACACAACTCGTGAAGTTGGACCAGCAGGAAGATCAAGATGCGCGAGAACGCTGGGAACCTTTTTCCACCTGGATCTCCGCTCTTTTTCGCAGTCATGTCCCTCCGTTGTCGGACTAAACTTGCCCCACTTCCTCATCGCCTCGGCCGTATCTAGACCCACAGCGTATAGCGCAGACCACGCTAAAAATCGAGCATAAATCAAAAATTTCTGCGTCAAGCTCACTGCGACACACTGCTGCAGGAGTATAACCTTACGCTTTGTCGGGAAACTGCTGTGCGTCCCTAGAAATTCCAGACCGACGGTGCAGAAGCCTACCAGCAAAACTGGTTCACGACCAGACGCAAGCGACATTTGATGTGTGTGGTTGCAGAAGTACAATCCGCCCTTTATACTTCAGCATGCCGCATCATCACATTATTACATTATACACGTTTGCAGATGTGAAAACATCCATGGCTCCAGCCTTATCAAAACATTACAATCTTTGCCACGTGCAGAATGAAGATTATAACTGTATATACTGTATATAGCCGGACTGAGGTACTGTCCTAATTAGATAAACTACTGGGAAAAAACAGCAGCTAATATTAAGGTGTATTAAACTCACACATCATCAGTGATAATTATCCTAACATTACATGAAAGTATGGAAGATGTTTAAAGGGGTATAAACAGACTTACTATGGTGCAATTAAAAGTTCTATGTTTCATTAGATCAGTTATCATCAAATGCTGGTAAAGATAAGGACTCTAGTTTATGAGCTACTGTGCTTATCACCTCAGAAATAGTTTAATGTTTTATATTGAGAACCAGGGTAATTTTCTAACTATTATCAAATTGGTCGGAACTCTTTATTTTTCCTTTTTTTCATTTCCTTTATTTAACCGGATAAAACAAAGAAACAAACCGAAAACATTAAGATTAAGATCTGATTTACAAGGTCGTTTTAGAAAAGAAAGTTCAATCAAAATATATAAATAAATAATAAATTAAGAGAGTTTACACAGATTGATAGATTTAGATTCTTATTATTTTAGCCTAAATGCTCTTTTCTTGTTCTCAAACTGAATGTAAAATAACACTGCATGTTTTATTAATTCGCTCCAATTCATTATGACATCTTTATAAACCTATAAATGTCAATAATGAAGGCAGAATTTGCCCGAATCTCTTTATATTTGCTTACTGAGACATTTTATATTGTTTTTTAGTTTATTTTTCTAAGGGTTAGACAACACATCTGGCTAGCTCTTTTTATACGAGTAGAATCCGTTGTATGAATCCTCATCAGAATAACAGTCATGTCCAAATGTTTCCAGCTGTAAAATGTCTCATGTTCCTCTTTTACTGCCAGGAATCTGAAATATGTTCAATCTCCTCTCATTAGAATGAGTTTCAGCTTAGCTGCTTATAAACAGTCTAAACAAAACTATGCCTGAAAGAGTGAGATCAACCACAAAGATACATCATTTGCTGTGTGCAAAACCTGCTGAGCTTCAACAAGTAAAACCCAGAAACTGTGGATAATTAGCTTGATTAGAAATGTTTGTCACTTTAAAGAGGAGATGCTTTAATGTACTCTGCAGATAGACAAGCAGCTGGTGACATAGTGGGAATTGAACTTCTTCACCCGTATTGGAATGCAATAGAAATATGCTTTCACCTAAATTATGCAGAAACACTCCGGCGGTGCAGAGTGCGGCAGGATGATATCTGAGAAAATGTCCCAGTGTTTTATCCTTCCAGATAGAAACCATGCTGCAATGTCTCTGTGCATTTTTGTGACCTGTCCAGCTGGAGCTCCTCTAAAGTTTAACCAAAAGCCAGCGTTTCATTTGAAATAGAGGCAGGTCCTCATGGAGGCTGCACTTCATACCGTAATATAAACTTCTGTCTCCTCTCTTTGTTTCTCATCTTCCTCTTCCTCCTTTCCCCTTCATGTCTGCATCATCTCTCTGTATTTATTCTCATTTTTTTTTCTTTTGTCTTTTCCCCCTGCAGATCTGATTACAGCCCTCTGTCCTCGACGAGCAGTAAGTAACCTCGACACGAAGCAGAGCAAACAGTAACACGCACAAATCCACAGCTGAGGCGCGGGTTCCATCTCTGTAATGCGTTCTGACTAAATAAATCCTCTCTGAGATGAGAAGGGTGGTTGGGAGGGGGTTTTAGTTGAGTTCAGTGGTCCTGGAAACTTATAGGAGATTTTGGAGAAGAGTCTTTGTGTGGAATGAACGAGCGGCTTGAATTCAGCGTCATACTGATGCTTTGGTTGTGCTAACATACTGTTTACTTTATTTCATTTGGTAAAATGGAACCACAGCATGGACAGAGTTAAGAGAAATGGAAAAACGATTGGGGAGTTTACAGCTTGCATGTAGTAAAAAAAAAAAATATATATATATATATATCTATAGACAAACTGAGAGTGTATACAAATCTATTTATATCCAGATACCCTTGAAGGGTTGTAGGGAGAATGGTGCCTATACTGCAAAAATGTAAATCTATTAAAATAAAGGAATTGTTCCTTGATTTAAAGGAAAATTCTGGTTTTTAACACTTTTAGCCCATTTTCTGTAGTGTCCAGGATGAAATCGAATGATCGACACCAAAATTTTGACAATTGGTCCTGTCTCTGCTTTTTGGCTCATGCAGAATCCCCCCCCTGGCTGCTTCAGAATGGCTTCCATAGTGCATGTCCGATAATGTCCTTAAAACAACCTTAAACGTTCTTGTTTTAAAATATGCTACTCACCGGGTCGTCAGCGCTGTTCAATGACGTTCCAAAAAAAGTTTCGTGAAGAAAAACCGTTCCTGTCTTGTTTTATTTAGCATTTTGTAAATCCCAGAACTATTTTTTCCGATACATCACAACCGCTTATAAACTTCCGCTTCTGGTTCGAATCTGAAGCGTTGCACACTCCAGACCACTAGTTGGCGACGGTATCCTCTACCGTCAAACTCAAAGTCCAATATGTCCTCCTCAAGAATCCACCTTTCGTATTCCATTTTCAGAGTTTTTTAAAGTGTTTAACAGAGACGTTAGCACCTCGACGTCGGAGTACACAGAGTGAAGCAGAAACACTTGGGCCTTGCGAAAAGACTACAACTAAGCGTAAACAGGCCCCATTTCCGTTTCCGGTGGCGGAGGGATATTGACTATTCCAACAGAACTCAATGGGATTTACAAAATGCTAAATAAAACACTACAGGAACGTTTTTTCTTTACGAAACTTTTTTTGGAACGTCATTGAACAGCGCTGACGACCCGGTGAGTAGCATATTTTAAAAAAAGAACGTTTAAGGTTGTTTTAAGGACATTATCGGACATGCACTATGGAAGCCATTCTGAAGCAGCCAGGGGGGGATTCTGCATGAGCCAAAAAGCAGAGACAGGACCAATTGTCAAAATTTTGGTGTCGATCATTCGATTTCATCCTGGACACTACAGAAAATGGGCTAAAAGTGTTAAAAACCGGAATTTTCCTTTAAGCAAAATAAGTAAGACAATTTGAATAATAAAATGGATAAGATTATTTACATTTAAGATAAAGAAACAACTCCATTATCTCATTTCAAATGGATAATACCTAATTAACTTCTTTTAAGAGAAAGAATACTCATTCTATTGGCAGATAATATTCTTTAATATCTCAAATTAAGAGCAAATACTTTTATTTTTTATTTTCTTTCCTTATTTTTTGCAGTGTCTCTCCTTCTGCCATTGGGTGAGAAGAAGGTTAGGCTGCAGACAGGTCACACTGCAAAAAATGTCCTAAATGAAGGGTATTTACCCTTAATTTGAGTAGGTAAATAAGATTATCTTTTCTACTCTTAAAATGAGTATAAAATTAGATAATTAGATATTATGCACCTGAAATAAGAGACTGCAGTTGTTTTTTCTTATTTTAAATGCAAATTGCCTTATTCCATTGGCAAAGTGTATCACTAAACTACTTAATTCCAGAAAAAAAAGCTCTTATTTTAAGAAAAATAAACTTCCACACAGGACTAACCGCCATGCAGACTCATTCCTAAGAGCAATATAGACCAGCTAAGCTAAGACTTGTGTCTTATGAGAAGGCCAGAGTAGCAGGATAACATCCAGGGATGCAAAAGGAGAACATATATGAATGCTGTGTTGATTTTGACAGGAGTGTGAGCACAAAGAGCAAAGTAATCTGAATCAATGATCCTAGGGATCCCATGTTGGTTGCTTGGGACGGACAAAAAGAATAAATACTTAAATATTTTTGCTTTATTTACCCAGTCTGAACAGTGTTATATTTTGAAAAACGGACAAATTCTCTCCATTACACTGCAAAAAAGGGGCTTCTAAAATAAAGAACATAAAACTAAATCATAGTGAAAACCTACTCAAACAAAGTGAAATTATCTCTCACTGCAGCTAATTAATTTTACTTACGACAATTTCTTGGTTTAAGATTTTAAGTTATAGAACTAAACATAGGCAATATTTAAAAGGATAAATGATGTCTTAAAAAAAGAAAAATTATCTAGTACTCCTAAATCTAAGATTTTTTTTACTTGGTCTGAACCAAATAATATGCAGATTAACTCATTGTTGGCGAATGTCAGCTACGGTACCATAGGTCATGTGATGCCTCCCACTTTAAACCCCCAATTTAAACCCCCAAGCTAGCAGAAATAAGCAATAAACAAACGGCTTTAGAAAGTTTCTTTGGAATTTGGAAATGGTCCCATGAAGGGACAGAAGAGGAGCCTGGGAACATCAATAGATATGATATAGATGCACATGAATACACAGTGGATTTGGTTTTCTATTTAATTATCTAGCAGGCAATTTATTATTTTCTTATTAGCATTCTATGCATAGTTGTTGCATCCATTTTCTTTGGGAATATTTAATGTGATAAATCAACACACTATTACAGGTGGAGCTTTAGCTGTGATTATCCAGAGAGCCAATTTCTAGATCCAGGTTTGCCTTCGCTCTGTATGTCTTTCACAATAGAGGGATTAAATCTAATGTTAGCCCATTAATCTGGCCTTCAGGAATTTGCGTTTTCCCGGCCTGCACCACACCCACACAGGAAGAAGAGGATGCAAAGACACACAGTAATCCATCGGTGGCTGTCTGGTTTGGTTTTCCTCTCATGTTTCCGTCATCACTGATGTATCAGATGAACTTTTGCTCACTATTGTTAGAACTGGAGGTCAAAGCAGGAGCTGTGGGATAAAGTTTGAAACAGGGCTGCAACTCCTCATTATTTGGCTACTGGATTAATCTATCAACTGTTCAACTGTTTTTTTTATTTGTTGATTTAATCAGTTAATGAGCTTTAAAGGAGATTTTTTGCAGAATATAAACCAGAGCATTTTATTTTCTTCTTAAATACAAACCATATATGTTTTTGATACAGTTTTGACTTTATTATACAATTAGTCTATTAATGGACATTTAGATTAATTACAATTAATCTGATTAATAATGAATCTGAAGCAGCTTTGTCTTTAGAAAGTGTTCATACCCCATGACTGGAAAATCACAATAAAAAGCCTTTAACCATTAGTTGATATCAATAGTTAGTTTTTTTTAAGTATTTAAAATACAGACCAGGGTAAAAAAAAAAAAAAAATCGGGAAAAAATGAATACAAACGTTAACCTTTCAAATAGGCCTGTCCTACTGCTAACCTCACCTAGGTAAGGCTGTGGCAGAAGCAGAGGCCTCTCCTCTTCCGACATCCCTCTGTACATCTTCGTTTACCCTTCTTTCTCTAAATAAACTGCAATACAAATAATTACCTTCAGAATTAGTAAATATAGTTCATCTGTTTCTGTTTGAATCAGGTCAAAATGTTGAGAACTACTGTTTGAAGAAAAGTTTGCTTATAAAACAATTTCCTAAACAGTGAATCTCTAACAAAGACGCTGCGTTCAGTTGATTGTGTTTATTGATTAAACTTGATTGTTTTGCAAAGTGCTGCACTATGTGTGGTAGTGAAGTACCACCTTAAATGAACCTACCGTATTGTAAGAAAGTAGGGTATGGATTCTTTGATCAACTGGGGTAAAGTCGGTCAGGGTTGATGAAATATATTTTAAACAGATTTAAAGCAAACCTGCAAGAAAACCTGTTTTAGGCCTTAAAGGATGTTATATACAGTATATAAGAGTTTAGTTTCACTTTTCACCCTAAAAATGTAGCCAGATGTGCAATTGAGTGGTTCATATTAAAATGCTTAAGAGTTTAATTTCACCTGCGTTCGCATGGTCTAGTTAAAGTCCAGGCTACTGAAAAGGTTTTCACCACCTGGAAGCTGAGTAACAGATTATCTCTGCCATTTCTGACTGAGCTTGAGCTGCTTGGCAAAGCAGAGTGAACCAAGTTATCAGTATTTGTATGTCGGTTGTTACATCAGAGAAGACAGAGGTGTTATTTAGAGAGATGGCTAATTAAGAATTTATAAAAAGACCCATTTAAACTTTATATAATTATTATTATGAAAAATATTCATAAAAAATTGTGATACAGTTATTTAAAGACAACATTTGCGGGGAAAAAAACATATTTAGAAACAGAAAAAAATTAATTCCATTAAATGTGTCTTTTATATTACATAAATTGCAATTTTTATGCTGAAAAAAGGCAAAAAACAATGTGCTTTCTTTTGAAATTTTGTGCAGTAAAATGCAGAAACAACAGATAGAATTAGCACTTAAAATTTCAAACATTTTCTCCAATATTATATTATAATATATTACACTTTTACAAGTGCGCAGTTTGACCATAACTGGTAGTTATTATGTAAAAGTCCAAAGAAATAGGTTACCTTCATCTTTCCACAAATTTTTTTTCATTCAGTAGAACTGATAATTCTTCCTGCAAATGTAAATTTAATGTCTGGCAATGGCACATAGATAAATATATATGTTAAAGAACTTAAACAAATAAAAGCATTATATAAAAATAGACAGAATCTTTTGTTAAATGATTTAGTTCATGTTAGTGCTGTCAAACGATTAAAAATTTTATTCGCGATTAA